TGGATGTCAAAACCGCTTTCCTTAATGGAAAGTTGGCTGAAGATGTTTACATGAGTCAGCCAGAGGGTTTTGTCAGTAACGAGTACCCTAATAGAGTGTGTAAGCTTGAGAAATCCATTTATGGATTAAAGCAAGCACCTCGCAGATGGAATCTTTGCTTTGATGAAAAGGTCAAGGAATTTGGCTTTTCTAGGAGTGAAGATGAATCTTGTGTATATGTCAAGGCTAGTGGGAGTATAGTTAGCTTTTTGGTATTGTATGTGGATGACATACTACTCATAGGAAACGACATTCCAACCCTGCAGGAAGTAAAGTCCTGGCTTGGAAAGTGTTTCGCTATGAAGGACCTTGGTGAAGCTGCCTATATTTTGGGGATAAGGATCTTGAGAGATCGGAGTAAAAGACTAATTGGACTTAGTCAAAGTACCTACTTGGAGAAGGTTCTGAAGAGATTCAGAATGCAAGACTCCAAGAAAGGAGAGTTGCCCATCCAGAGCGCCAAGTTGAGTAAGACACAAAGCCCTAGCACTGAGGCTGAGATAGCAGAAATGAGTCGAGTACCTTATGCTTCGGCTGTAGGTTCGATCATGTATGCTATGACGTGTACTCGACCTGATGTAGCCTTTGCCTTGAGCATGGTTAGCAGGTTTCAGGGGAACCCTGGCAAGGCACACTGGACTGCGGTAAAGAATATTCTCAAGTACCTACGAAGGACTAAGGACTGGGTCCTTACCCTCGGTGGGAGTGATGACTTGAGAGTTGTAGGGTATAGTGATGCTAGCTTCCAGACTGATAGGGATAACTTCCGCTCTCAGTCGGGCTGGGTCTTTACCCTAAATGGAGGAGCAATTTCTTGGAAGAGTTCCAAGCAAGAGACAGTGGCAGATTCTACTTGTGAATCAGAGTATATTGCAGCTAGCGAAGCGGCAAAGGAGGCGTTATGGCTGAGGAACTTCATTGGAGACCTTGGAGTTGTACCAGCTATTAAAGAGCCAATGGAAATTTTCTGTGATAGTGAAAGTGCTGTTGCCTTAGCCAAGGAACCAAGGGATCACGGGAGATCCAGACACATCGACAGAAAATACCATTTCATCAGACATCGGATCGAAGAAGGACTCCTCGTGGCAAAGAGGGTATCATCAGATGAGAATCCGGCAGATCCCCTCACGAAGGGACTGACTCGGGTTAAGCATCTCCAGCATGCTCGGAGCATAGGGCTGAAGGATGATATTAGATTTAGTAGTTAGATAACCTCGAAATTTGTAAAGTGTAATTGACATTTGATGATGAATAAAAGTGTTTTATTTATGAGTAAAGTGTTGCTATCTCTTGTCGATCGTTTACTATATTTCTTTTGCATGTTTTGACTTCCAGAATAATTTTGTTTGGTATAACATATTATTCAAACCTCCACAGTCGGTCATATGTCGGAAGTAGGTATGAATCAAGACTGTCATGTTTGGTTGTAGAGGTCTGGGACAAGGCTACAACAATCATGAGTGCTCATAAGTTCTGAGCATTGGACTCAACCCACGCTCACTGGAATCACTTCATGGAATTCTATCTCGAGTGATCGTGAGACGGTAATATCATATAAGTCTTTAAACCTAGAGATATGATTTGTTACTTACAAGTTGGTTATGCATTGATTGTACGAAAAACGCATTGGTAACTCGATGTTATAAAATCGTGCTCTTGTGTGTAATTCAATGAGTAGTAGAACAAACATATGAGTCGAAGTTTATCTGTTCCTTCTTGGATTAGAAGCTGATATCTGGGCCCCTCGATGATTTTGTTTTGACCTATGTACCGGGCCCGGTCAGAACTAATTGATGTGTTCAATAAGTTCTTTGTCAAACAAATCGGAAATCGGGAAACAAATGTTGGACAATAAGTAAGACATTGTTCCATGTATTTGTCCGACTGATATCTAGAACAGAGGATTATATGATCACTTATCTTAAATGGCGTACCATCATCTTCTCAGTTTCGAGAAACCTTGTAAAGAGCTACGATTGCCGATCGGTTCCTGAAGTCATACTTGCAGTAATAGTTATTAGACTTATCCAAGTGGGAGACTGTTGGATAAGGTGTCTAAGTCCATAACTATTTCTGGTATGTACTTGACCCGACCCGGCATGGTCCATTTGGGTTGCATGGCACCATGCAATTGGATAGACTAAATGAGAGAAATAACACTTGGAGATTATTAATATATTATAAGTTCTAATATATTAATAATATTATTTGATTAGTTTGATCAAGAATTAATTTAGAATTAATTAAGTGATCAAAAGATAACTAATTAAATATATGGGTTGATTAAGTAAATCATCCATATCTTGTATAGTGGGCTAAAAGGCTCCATGGACATCAAGTTGGGTTTCACCCATAGGATGCTCCATGGATGCTCCATGGGAGTTACAAACCCATGGGTCATGGAAATGAAGAGTCATGACACATTAGGGTTTAACCCTAGATGTGTCAACACTATATAAGTAACATATCCTCCACCCAAAATCGGCTACACTAAGAATCAAGAGGGCTTGGCCGATTTTGAAGAAGTGAGTATTCTCTCTTAAGTTCTTCCAAGAGCATTTGGTGTTGTGTGAAGCATTTGAGGCATCACACTTGGGGTGCTAGGCTCACAAGGTTTCAAGGAACACAAACAACAACAAGGTAAGTTATTCTATCTATACTTTATGTTAAAATTGTTCCCATGTATGCTAGATAGGAATATAACCTTGGAATTCAACTTTGCATGACAATTAGACAAACATAGATCCAAGGTTATTAGGGTTGCATGTACACTTAGGAAGTGTTAGAATGCTCAAAACCCATCAATACTTGGCCAGGGTTAGAATGGTCATTTTACCCCATGCATGGATTAAGGATTATGGTATATGAACCAATTGCTAATTAGGTATATTGTTTGGTAGTGACAGCTCGGGAAGCTGGTGGGGCAGCAGCTAAGGAATTCATGTGGGAAGCTTCTGCAGTACGAGGTGAGTCTTCTCACCATACCAATGGGTCTAAGGCACCAAGGCTGGCCCATTTTATGTTATGTGGTACACTAGTTGTAGTAGGTATATATGGTATGATAGTTAGCTTTATGCTAAGTGGTATGCTAGTGATTATATGATATGTGGTATGCTAGTTGTCTTTGTGATACTTGCATGGATGACCATGTGGGGTAGCCAACGGCACAATTGTATAAAACCCTAGTGGAGCCCACGGCATCCTTATAGGTTTATATACATGTTGTGTGTAGATACTTCTGTGATACATGATATGCTATTTAATTATATACTTCCTCCATCCCAATATTATTTTCCACATACAAAAAAACACACAGATTAAGCACAAACTTTATATAATAAAATAACAGTTTTGTCCTTACTTTGCATTTAATGTTCCAATAAATGTTTATTTGGTTAAGTAATAATGAGGGGTATTTTGGGGAAAATGTTATTTATTTTTAGAAGTGTACTATTGTTTTGGGACAAACCAAAAAGGAAAGATGGACTATAATTTTGGGACGGAGGGAGTATGATATTGGCAGGGAAGACCCTGGGGGAGCCCGTGACATTGGACATAAGACCATGTGGGGTAGCCCATGGCATTCCTAGGTAAAGACCATGTGGGGTAGCCTATGGCATTGGATGTAAGACAATGTGGGGTAGCCCATAGCATTCCTAGGTAAAGACCATGTGGGGTAGCCCATGACACGAAGGTGTAAGACCTTGGGGGAGCCCATGGCATCCTTCCAGGTTTATGTATGCATGGCTTATGTGGTATGTGTAGCTTTATAACTAATATGATATGTGTTATATGGATTGGTGTGGGGTATGCTCTGGGAAACTCACTAAGCTTCGTGCTTACATGTTTGTTTATGGTTTCAGGTATCATCGTTCTGGAAAGGAAGCGCTCGGATTAATCGCAGTGCACACACCTATGATTTCTGCAATGAATGATTTTGGGATAAACTCTGATAAATGTTTTACTTAAGGATGATTTGAAATGTTTGAGATAAATGGTATCAATGTTTTAGCTATACTAAAAATGAAATTTTTTTCCCTTGATTTTTGGGTCATTACAAAACAAACATACATATACCAAACAAACAACATAATCATAAACATACCAAACAAACAACACAATCCTATAATCATACAAGGATTTCAATTTCATATAATCTTATACATATATACAATTTCAATTTGAATAGGAAAAAAAACTAACATGTTTCGTTCTTTTTGCTGTGAAGGTGGGATTCTAATTGTCAAATTTGATGGTGATCCTCCGGTGGTGGTGGCTGGTGGTCACCGGAAATCCACAAAATCAGAAGAAGAAAAAACAAAAAAACACACCAAATTCCTACATGATCTGGCAGTGAAGGAGAGAAGTTGAAAGGAGGGTGGGGTCGTCGGTGGGGAAGGATGAAGGTGGTGGAAGACGGACGGTGGTGAACCAAAACTGGTGAACAACTATAAACACCAAAAAAAAACCCAAATTAGGGGTAAAAACCTTGACTACACAACAATAAAGAAAGAAATCTGAGTAGAAAAGATGTTACCTAGTGCTAATCACCGGTTTGGAAGGTTGATTGTGATTTTCGTCGGAGAGGTATGAGCTTTTGCATCACTGTGAGCAAATGAAAGACCGACTGCAGTCTGTTAGGGTAAACCCCCATGACGACGACATGTCGTCAGTATTCTTGATAAACGATGTCGTTTCATTTTTTGCTTGAAAAAAAACAGTGCCGACGACATGTCGTCAGTATTTTTGATAAATGATGTCGTTTCATTTTTTGCTGGAAAAAAAAAAAAAAAAAACAGTGCCGACGACATGTCATCGAGATAGGTATTTCACGCGGATCGCCACGTGGCTTGCCGACGACAAGTCATCGCTATAGATTCCATAAAACTAGGTCGTTCTGGTATTCTGGATCATAGAATATAAATAAATGGAAAATAGATTTATCAATACCTATCCCGACAATGTGTCGTCGGCATGATTTTCAGAATACCGCAAAAAATTTGGTCATTCCTGCCAGACCTTTAGCGACGGCATGTTGTCGGCACAATATATCCTGGTCAAATGAATTTGGTCAAAATTGGCAAAAGTTATGGCGACAACTAGTCGTCAGAATAGGTGGACTTGTAGCGACGACATGCATCGTCAGGATAGGTGTCGTCGCAATAGTTTCGTATTCATGTAGTGAGAGTGGTGAAATTGTTGGTTAGCTTTCGATTCAAATTCAATGCTCGAAAGAAAAGTCAAATTTGGTTTTTGTATCATGTTTGGATTCAGATTATAGTCTCAAAAAGTCCATCCCTTCGTCGCCGGTTATGGGTAAAGGCCGCATCGGCATCTAATCCCTCTATGTACAGATCGATCGTAGATGGAGATGAAGGGTTTAATTAGATTTTTTGTCCAGCTGGGTTTTTTGTTTGTGTGTGGTGTGTGCGCGAATGTGAGAGGGGCAAAGAGGCATGGACAAAGGGTGAAGAATGAGGTGGATTTAATTCAAGTTTTTTAATCAATTAAAAGCCACTTGTACATGAAACTCGTAATTGGTAATGGTAGGTAAAGGGACCAAAACATTTTTCCTTTAAAATGGATGAAAAATACTTAAAAGGACTAAAAATGCAAAGTCAAAATACAAAATAGGGCGGTTGCGTCATTTATATATTTTGTCTGAAAAGGAAAAATAAATAAAAAGAAAACCTGAGTCCTCTGAATGTAAAGCAAAAGAAAACCACCACATCCTCGTTGACTCTCTTGTCGTCTTCCTTCCTTCGTCGTTGATTTGCCCTTAAGCTGCCGACTTAATGCAATTCGGTCTGTGGTTTTCAATCATCATCTTTCTCAGCCTCATCACTGCTGATTCATCCTCTATCATCGCTGCTTCAGATCGCCTTGTCGTCCTGTAGGCGGGTAATTATGATCAAGGCGCATTCTAACAAGTTAGTTTCACACGTAGTTAGACAATATCATCTTATTAATCATAAGTCATATCATAATCACCTGTTTCTTTCATTAACATGCGATTCAGTCCTTGTAGCGTAAAGTCCAGAATGATGAACAAAACTTCGTACACGTTGGGAAACTCTTCGATCCTTTAAAATTGCCTCCTTCATAATAAGATTAATTTATTAGATTCTTTTTGAATGATGTTATCTGCTCCTTAGTGGTTCAATATTCGACTGTCAATCTATCATAATGAGTATTTTGCTTGCTATTGAAGTCAAAACTCAATGATATCTATATACTTGTGTAAAGACTATAGAGTGCATTTACCTTTTATGTTTCATCTGGAAAGTTTTTTGCAATTTCCTTCAAGGGAGATAGTAGTGGATCATGTAGTTATTTTGAGAATGGTATTTGTTGTTGATTTGTTTGAGTATTACTTTACTGAAACTCCAATGGATTTTACTTAGACAACAGAGAATGTTTATCATGTTTACGTGGGTTAATCAAATGAAAACAGAGGTGTTGTTGCTTAAATGCATAAATTGCTTTGTTACTATCTTGCATCCAAACGTAGCCAGAAAAACAGGTTAGCCAATTTAGTTAAGTAGGTAACAGCTTTTAAAATAAAATTTCATGTCAAATTGTCAATGTAATGGCTAAAGGATCCAAAAACCTGTCACAAAATTACTACTGCCATGAGATTACTGTTGCAGAGATTTATCAGCCTCTCTTTGTATTTCATTTCATGTAAAGCAGCTTCAGTTGTATTGCTTTTCGAGTGTTTAGATGCCTAAGTTTGATGTCCATACATCCCTTGTTCACAAAGCAACCGAGTTTAGCACTATTTAAGCTATTGAATAGCCTTTGAACACAAAAATCAATATCTTTAAATATACATATACACATTATGCAGTATATAGCTCCAAAACCAACTCGAAACTCGGAGGTGCATATGTATTGTACTTTAGTCGTCACTTAAAGTTTTATTTTGAAGAATTAGAAGGTATTGTTATTATTCAGGTGTATATTTTTCATATTAGTAATTTGGATTTTATATACAGGCATTATGTACTAGATCTTGACATTGAACCAATGAAGAGTTTCAGAGCTTACTGAGATACACAAAATCCTGGGATCTTCATCTTCTTCTTCATCAACTCATAAATCATAATGGTTGTTCTCTCTGAACTCCTCTTAGAAGAATCTTCATCTTCTTCATCAACTAGTGGTTATAGTCCATCAACTCATGGTCATAGTTCATCAACGGATGCTTATAGATATGACGTTTTTTTAAGTTTTAGAGGTGTTGACACTCGTCATAGTTTCACTAATCACCTTCATAAGGCTCTCATTGATGCCGACATCAATACCTTCTTGGATGATGAAGAAGAGATTGAAACAGGTGAAGATCTTAAACCGGAACTGGAGAGTGCAATTAAGGCATCTCGAGCTTCTATTATTGTGTTGTCCAAGAATTACGCTTCTTCAACATGGTGCCTAGATGAATTGGTGTTGATCCTTGAACAGCGTATCACATCCAACCATATTGTTATTCCGATATTTTATCATGTGAAGCCCACCCATGTCAGAAAGCAACAAAGCAGCTTCGGAGATGCAATGGCTAAGCATAAACAGACAATGGAGGAAGAGACAAATGCATATAAAAGAAGTCAATGGGCTCAAAAGATAGTCCGATGGAATAAATCGCTTATAGAAGTTTCTAATTTAAAAGGAAAGGACGTAAAAGGAAGGTAATCAATTTCTTACCCGTATTTCCATACGCCTTCAATTTTGTTTGATTAACGCATAAAATGTCAATATCATCTTCTCCCTTTGCATTTCAATAAGTTTTCTCAGTATCAACAAATTAAATAGTTATTCATTTCATGTATTAGGACAAAGAAGATGCACAAAATTGAATCTAAGCCTCCTGCTATGTGATCTCATAATCACTTCATATAGATAGATTAACCTTTATGATAAAATTGACATGCGTGTTGCATTAGTATTTTATCATAAGTTGGTTCATTTAGATAAACAATCCCAATTATTTTAGTATGTTTGTTATTAAAAATCATATCGAACAATTTGATGTGTCTACTATTAACTATACCATACTACCTTCAAATCATATCATTTTTTTATAATAAATAGAGAAAACTGCAAAAATCATCCATGTGGTATCATGCTGTTTTGTTTGAAGTGGGTCCAAAAAGTTTATTATTATTATTATTATTATTTTGCAAAAATGTCATTTTCTTTGTGGTTTAGAATAATTTGGTCCTTAACTATGGTTATTATTGTGGGCCCGCCCTCCCCAAGCCTCAATCACGGGTCTTCTGTTTTCATGCCCCCCCACCCCCCACTAGAATGTAAATCAAAAGCTAAAACGCTAAACTAAAACAAAAACGAAAGTTGATCTAAAACCAGCATTAATGAAGATACATAAACAATAAATCGAATCAATAAGTTTGATGATTCAGAAACAAAAATTTGAAGATTCACAATAGTAAATCAAATCAATAATTTGAAGAATGTGTTACAAAATTGAAGATTCAGAAACTATAAACAAAACAAAATTTTGAACTACCTGTAGATAATTTGAAGAGTCACTAACAATAAACAAAAATCGCAACAATAACCAATCATTATGTTATGACTTGAACTGAAATTAAGGAATAAGCACTTCATGGTACGTATATATTTCAGGCCTGGTTTATTTTATCTCCAAGTGGAATGGCTGGAGAGTTTGTCTTATCTTCTTTTGCTAGCTTTAGTTGCGAATTATGAAAAATGGGATGAATGGTTGTAGTGTCTGAAGTTGTAATCAGTATGCTACCTAACCGATTCACTACAAAACTGTAAAAGGGCCATAAAATCATGGAGCACATTTTTCATTTGAGCGTCTTTCCAAAGGTTGTTGTCTTTAGGGTTGAAATTTAAGGTAGACACATCCCCCCAACTTCAAACTTCACTTATTTTCTTTTACTGTCCTCCCAAGGTTGTTGCCTAAATTTTTGGTTTTCCTTGTATGAAGCATCTTAGGTAAAGGTTTGAATCGATGGTGATATTCAAAAAAAAGTTTTAGAATAAGAGAGGTTGGTTTTGGAATAAGAGATTGTCCTTTGTAATACAACATTCCTTATTTATATAATAATAATAATAATAATAATAATAATAAAATTTAATATGAAAGGTCAAAGTAGTCTTTTCACAACGATTTAATTGATTAATACTCAGTGTAAAGTAAGGGACTAAAACCACAACACAACCCTTGCAAAATGACATATATTGCAAAAATGAAACCTTTTGCATCCAGCCCAAAGAAAACAACAAATCAGAGATGGACTATATTTGCAGTTTTAGATAGCAAATAACAATAACTCTCTTACCTATAAGTAGTAGAGGATAACCTGGAATTTTTTTTCTAACCACATGCATAGCCACATTGATAGTTAAGTTTGATGGTCTTGTGGAAACATAGTAAAGTTAGGTGGCTAATATGTCAAATATTGCAACATAATGGTAACTTAGGTTGTATCATACATAAATATTATGACCTTACACATTAGATGGTTATATGGTTAGAAGGTAAGTACCATGGTTTTGATATGATGAACTTAATTAATAACAATAGTATGGTGTATATATATATATATATATATATATATATATATATATATATATATATATATATATATATATATATATATATATATATGAGTTGATCTTTGGATAAATTAAAATCTCCAAATCTGGTTTGTTAAATTTCAGGCTAGAGACAAAGTTCATTGAAGAAATTGTGAACGATATCCACTGTAGATTACATGTACCCTTAAGGATTGCTCAACCATTACTTATTGGGATGGAATATCATATTCACTTTGTTACTTCATGGTTGAAAGATGGGTCCTCACATACTGCAGACATACTCACTACTTTGGGTATGGGTGGGATCGGGAAGACATCTTTAGCCAAACATGTCTATGGGTTGTATTCTCATGAATTCCACATAAGTAGCTTTATTGAAGATATCACAAGGAAATGTGATGGAAAGTTTAATGGGTTACTTGATTTACAAGAACAACTTTGCAATGACATTTCAAAAACAAGTTCAATTAGATTTCATGATGTGGGAATATACACCACAAAGATAGAGAATGCACTAGCCCGTAAAAGGGTTTTTCTAGTCCTTGATGATATAACCACTATTGATCAGTTGGATGCATTACTTGGAAGCAAAGGTTTTCATCCTGGAAGCAAAATTATAATAACAACAAGGGACAGATGGTTGACCGAGAGTTGTGCACTATTCAAAACAAACAATAAACCCAAGCATGAAAGACATTTGCTTCTTGGCTTAGATGAGATCCAATCACTACAACTTTTGAGTTTTCATGCATTCATGTGCAACTATCCCAAGGAAGGTTATGAAGAGGTGTCATATAAGCTTGTGAAATATTGTCAAGGAAATCCATTGGCTCTTGTAGTTTTGGGAAAGTCTCTATGTAATCGAGATGTAGCTTACTGGGAAGGGTGCATAGAAGGGTTAAATAAAGAAACAAGTTCCCATATAAATAATGTCTTGAGAATGAGCTTTGATTCTTTGCCATCCAACAATGATAAGGAATTGTTTAAGCATATTGCTTGCTTTTTTGTTGGAATAGATAGAGATGTTAGTGAAACAATATTAAAGGCATGTGATATAATCACAAGATCTGGAATCACGAATCTCATTGACAGATATCTTCTTAGTATAGGATCGAATAATGAATTAAAGATGCATCAGTTGGTTCAAGAGATGGGAAGATTGGAAGTACATCAAGAATCACTTGACAAGCCATGGAAGCGAAGTCGAATATGGTGTCATAAGGAGTCATTCAGAGTGTTGAAACAAAAAAAGGTGAGAGTATGTATACTTGTTGGTATTGTGCATATTCAAATTACTTTGTATTATCTCTTTTTTATTTTTGGCCATTTGTTTCTTTTTAGGGTAAGGGAAACGTTTTAGGCCTTTCCCTTGACATGCGCATGCTTGAGAAAGAGAAGTCTGAAGCATCATTTGAGCTAAAAACAGATGCATTGAGTAACATGGATAGTCTAATGCTACTACAAATCAATTATGTGCACATGGAGGGGTCTTACGAGAACTTTCCGGGTGAATTAAGAGGCTTGCGTATGCATGGGTTCCGTTTAAAGTCTATACCTTTAGACTTACCAATGATGAATCTGGTTGCTCTTGACATGTCATATAGCTATATTGAATCATTTGTTGGTTGTTATAGTAATATACAACGACTTGAGAAGAGACAAAAGGTAACTTATCTTCATTCATTATTCATCAATGTTGAGGTGATGAAATTCAATACTCTTCTAACTTATTTCAACTTTTTTGCAGTTTGATGCATTGTACTTAAAAGACAAAAAGTTGTTTAGATCATTGAAGATTCTTAATTTAAGTTTCTGTAAACAACTTCGTAGTCTTGGTGACTTTGACCAACTCCCTGCACTCGAGAGGTTAATAGTTAGAAATTGTGTTGGTTTGGTTGAGGTTGGTGAATCAATTGAGCAATGTATTGAACTTGTCTTCATTGATATGAGCTATTGCAAGAAGCTTGAAAAACTTCCTAGAAACATAGGCATGTTGAAGAATGTTAAAACACTGTTGCTCGATGGTTGTAAGCTTAGCGATTCTCAAATCGAGGATATGGATATGGTCATAAACATAAGAACCTCCTCCTCCGTCTTTATGGGTGCTATACCAAGTGATTTGAAGTTGTTTACAGTTTCTTTACCGAGGTCTTTAGTAAGGTTGTCATTAGTAAATAATAATTTGTCCACTGAATGCTTTCCCATGGACTTTAGTTGCCTAACCATGTTAAAGGAATTATATTTGGATTACAATCCTATAAATTCCATGCCTAGTTGTATGAGAACCCTTCCTAGGCTAGAGATACTTAGTATGGCGAATTGTAAAAAATTGAAGTTAGTTGAGCATCCTCCACGTACACTAAGTAGGTTGTTGCTATTTTCTCGTCATGGGAGTTTTGTAAAGAAAGTTGTATTTGATCCAGAAATGTCCCCACTAGAGTTATCATCAAACTGGTGGATAGATTTCACACCTGGGTCCTGTGAAATTGAAGGAATGATCAAAATCCAAGCAATGGTGGGTGTTAAGGACAAGGTATTACGTAGTTTGGGTTGGATCAATGTAGACTTCCTTAACAAAGGATACGTGGGACCTAATCCTTGGGAATCTAAAATCCAGGTTTCTTTCGGTTAACTGTCCATCTTTATGTGAATATGTATAATATAATTGTTATATATGTATTTAATTAAGGTGGTTGTATTTTGTAGTCAATGTTTTATGAATTTGGAATATTCAGCACAAAGTATGAAGCAGAGGAGATTCCGAGTTGGTTTAAGTATAGAAGCTTGGGGCCATCAATATCATTTACCATCCCATCATCATCTCCAAACAACCTTACTGGACTCAACTTCTGCTCTCTGCACACATTGAAACCTCCCGATGAGTGGTTATTATTTCCACATGATCAGTTTCCTAGTACACCAATGACGACAATTAGTAATATAACAAAGAACTGCACGTGGATATACGAACGTCACACGGATAGAGTTATTGAATATGGAAAGTGTTGGTTGGTGTTAAGTCATTGGATGTTTGGGATGAATGAAATGGAGGTTGGTGACCATGTTACTATTACTGTTACATCACCATATAATGAATTTGTAAAGGATTGTGGGGTGAGTCTTGTGTATGATGAAGTAAAGAACAAGGATGAAGAAGAAGATGCATTGGGTTATTACAAGTCATGGAATCACATAATTGGTGGAGATCTCTCTCCTTTTCAAACAACAACAGGACAATACATCCTAAACAACATGCGGTTTTTTGAGTCTGCCATTATGTTGTTTCCGTATCATGCTAAATTAATTCCAGACGGCCCCAGATATCAAGGTATATGTGATTTTTGTTAATTATATTATCGTAATATTGTTTTATGTATAATGATCTCATCTATAACCCAATTTCTTTAAATAGATGGATAATGACTCATTTGTCTTAATAGTAAATCATAACTTAAATCTTTTAAACAAATGACTAATATGTCCCATATCCACTCATTTATTATTAATTTTATTATCATATAAGATTTTATTTTTATATAATACAAAAAATTAAAGTTTGACTTTTAATTTTAGATGAATCGAACAAAGTATTGATTGGTCTAAATGGGTTGATTTGTTATGTCAGTTGACTATGTCTTTGATATGGCGGATCACATAAATATATTTATGCTTTCAATACAACTTGTGTTCAGGACAAAAGGAAGTGTCCTGGTTTAGAGCTTTTTCTCAAAGGAATACTGGCATAATTGGGAGCACACGTGTGGTATATTTTTTTCACATCCAAACCTTTCTATCATCACAGAATAAAAAGGCATATACAACTAAATATGTTATCACCATATCAATGTATACTTATGTAAAATTTTAAAATTTCTTACTTTCCATTTATTCATAGGGTAAAGGGAAATCTTCAAGGTTTTATCCTTCACGTGAATCTACTTGAGAAAGAGAGGCTAGATGTAACCGAACTACTCTAAATCAATCACTTGAAACTGGACGAGTTATATCCTAATTTTCTAGAAGAATTAAGATTATTTGCTCCTTGTAGCCTTTGGTGCCCATTTATGTTTTGGTTTTTGTATTCTTTTTTTAGTCTTTAATTGCAAAAGACAGGTGAAAACAATATGAATGATTTTTTATTTCAGTTAATACGCATGTAAGGAATATGATGTAAGTCGACATGTTGTTTTGATTACTTTATATATTCTATTCGATATTTTGTTGATTTTGTTTATGTTATTGAAGAAAAGACTTAAACGTATGTAACGCCGTAAATTTCAAAACAATTTTTCATTTAAATATAATGGTTTAATTCTTAAAAACACTTTTCTTAAAATCTCATTCATGATCAAATTACAAAACATAACTCCATTTTCACTTGCATAATAAACCAGGATCCTCAAAATATAACTCTTTCATTGGTGTGTAGAATCAAGTCGATGCCATCCCGTGATCCTGTGAGACACCTGAAACACATAACACAAAACACTGTAAGCACGAAGCTTAGTGAGTTCCCCAAAATACCACATATAACACATATTAGCCACTCGAGGCTATAACTCTGTGGGTCCGTGCACCCAAACTCTGTGAACCCTCAGGTTCTAACTCTAGGAACCTTCCGGTTCTAACTCTGTAAACATGCACAGCATAAATCACATAGAAATAATGTAGTACAACACATAACATATATAACATACAAATACTCTGTCACATAACTCTGGTTACCTACTCAAGGTAAAGTATAGTGAGAATATTCACCTCGCGTCTCTCGGTAAATATCTACCTCGTAACAAATGTGATCTAGCCTCCGCCTAATCACACAAGATAATACACCCATAAATACAACTGAACTCAACCCTAAAGGTCAACATGGTCAACGGTCAACTTTTACCGGACTCGGCGAGTACACTAGGGCGACCCGGCGAGTCTACACGTGTCCACTGATTCCCTGGGATCCTCTCTTGACACGTCGAGTGTTTTCCTAACTCGACGGGTTCCACCTGGCATGAGTCGCGGGGCCACCACGACTCAACTCGCCGAGTCTCAAGAATAACTCGATGAGTTCCAACTTGACTCAGTCCACCCGTCAACCCTCTCTGACTCTCCCTGACTCACTGAGTCAACCCCTTAACTCGGCAAGACCACTCGCTGAGTGGTTATGGACACTCTTCATGCTACTCGCCGAGTCTGTTCTTCAAACTCGGCGAGTCTATGCCATGCATCAACCCAAACTCACTCCTGAGGTCAGATCCGTTCCAAAAAGGCCATTTACTCCATGGATCATTCCAAAAAGGCCACAAAGAAACCCTATCTCTAAGATTTACACCAAGGACTGAGAAAGTGTGGCAACCCGAAAAACTTCTCGCATGCACTCTTCAATTCTTTCCAATATTAGACTTATTTTTCTATATAGTAGTACCCTTTAGAGTCTAATGAAGCATTCTAAATGTGATATAATCAAGGTAGGAGTGTTAAAAAGGGTTAACTCGAAGCGTAGGAATCAAAACCGGGCTAAACACTCCAACGCATGGAGTGTACGGTCGCACACATGGAGTGTGCGGCCATACACTTGAGTGTGCGGCCACACACTCTTGTTTGCGGCCTCACACCATTCCCAACCGCACACTCCACCTATATATGCCACACTTAAATCATTTTTGAACACTTCCTTCATTTCTTCAAGCATAGAACACGAGATCCTCTCAAGTATCATCCATTCTCCTTGAAGATCTTCATAAAAAGGTACCAAGAACACCAAGAACACCATCTGGCCGCACACATGGCCGCACACAGGGCCGCACACAAGTGCTGGCAGCACACAGGGCCGCACACAAGTGCTGGCAGCACACTAGGCCGCACACCTGGCCGCACACACACATATAGTGTGTATTTTGGCCATACACCCTCTTGTATAGCCTTATAAACCCTCATACAATCATATATGATTATAACACTTCATTATAAGTGTTTAATAGTCCCTATGATGGTCCCAAAATCATCAATTAGTTGTTCATAACACTAATTATATCCATACATGTGCCAATATATGCTAAATAGGCTTCGCGTGTGTACTCAAGTCACCACTTGACACCTAGCATCAAATCCAACTTTGTCATCAGAACCACTCACTACAGGTGAGTTCATACCCCTTTAATGAACCTTTCAATTGTTTTTATATGTTTTAGGGGGGGGGATACAACTCAATTATACATGTTTATGGAAATTAATCACATGCGATTTACTATCTGTAGTTCGAATCACATGTGATTTATCACTATGCCTTATAAAAGGATTTTTCGTTTTCAAAACTATTTTGAATAAATAAACAACTTTTTTTAAATGTTCCCTTTGGATAAGATTTTTCCTAAATAAAATTTCTTATAAAAAGTAACCACACTAATATATTTATATAAGTAAGACTTGAAGGACTTAGGACCGATAGCTCGCCTTATTCCCTGTTCTTGTTTGATTGTGGGCTTAGGGTAATTGTTATCCGTCCGACTGTCGTTAATTTCTTAGTTATATATCATGTATACTAGTGTTGGATACGAACATTTTCATTTCATCCGATGTTTAAACCACTAAATTGGTAAGAACTATACACACTAAGTTAACTATAATAGGTATAGTTAAGGCCATTACTACTCGCTATCACTACTACTCTACACACTATAATACACACTACGAGCTATACAAAAGACTACCACACTATAATACAAGAAAAGGCACTAAACAGAAGATAACACACTAACTCACTACGAGATACTCTATTCGCTACATACTATGCCCAGAGTTTTTCCGACCGGAAGATGACACTACATGTATAGATCTATACGGGGCAGACACTAGTACACCCGACTGTTAATTTCAGTCCGAGTCGTACAGGCCCAGGGATGCTACTACTTCACTATACTGTGTATGACCGGGAAGGTCATGGGGTTCTCTATTGCTCACACTATCGGTAACATACAAGGAATACACTATATCCACACTAAAACACTAAACTAAAGTCTAATTTAACATTCCCAAAGTAAATAAGTATCTATCACTAAGGGGAGTTTGCACCTCTATCACTACTACAGGTATATTCTATCTTATTAAATTACTTATTGGAGATCCAATGATATACTTTTACAATAAACGGTTTTTCACAAATGAAGATTTCTTGTTTCCTTAAGGTTTTTCACTTACAATGTATTCTCTGGAAAATATAGGATTTTCTAGGGTTTTCTATTACTTATGAATGTAAATTGCAACATTTCGTACTATCAGTTCTAATGCATGTATACAAAACTCACACTAAACTCTTATGAACTCACCAGCGTCATGCTGATATTCGTTTTCAAAATAACTTGTATCCTCATGTCAAAGATAGACAGGTTCGGGTGCAGCATTTTGGAGAAGGTGGAGCATACAAGATCCATCTCTTATTTTTGTATTACTTTTGGTGTTTTTTGAACATTACAAAAACACACTTGTAACTAAACTCACTATCTAAATGAAATGGTTGTATGTTTCTTGTTTTTACTATTATTCAATTGTGATGATACTGTACATGACGTCCTCCACTCCGAAACGTATTCCGCCGTTATCGGTTGTGACATCCCCATTTTCACGGCCAGAAAACACCGATTTTATTTATGCTTTATAAAAATCAGAGTTCTTCTTTTAATAAAAATGTTGCGGAATTTGTTCCCAGAAAAACATGATAAATATGTTATTAAAACATTTCCGAAGAAATGTACTTTATTCATTTTAAAACGTTTGGGATGTCATCGTCAATACAGGAACATAAGCATAAACAGAACTTACATTTATTTACACTAGTGATCTACATCTCTTTAAATCTCTCAGTGTAAAGTGACTTCGTATCAACACCTGTGATATAAATAAACTGAGCGGGTCAGGTTGGGAAACCTGGTGAGTACATAAGGTTTTCAACCCACAATAATATAATTATTATGTTTAAACAATCAAACAATCAACCCAATTACCCATCCCCATTATCTTCTTTAGTCTTAAGGATCTACCCTAAGAATCAGCTATTCCTCGTTTATTTATTCCTAAGGATCATCCTAACCAAGGCTTATAGAATATATCTGGTGAGCACGTAGTCCGAAACATCTGGTAAACACTTAGTTCAAAAGTAACTAATGAACACACTTAGTTCAAAATACCTAGTGAACACACTTGGTTCAAAGATACGTAGTGAACACACTCAGTTCAAAAATACCTAATGAGCACCTAGTTCAAAAATACCTACATGTTACGAACCTGCTATCGTTCCACTGGACCGTCTAGTATCAACCATAGTCGTCATCTATACTCCACTAGATGACTGGATCACTGACAACACTGATGTCTCCCATCGTGTTATCACAAAACAACTATTTCATCTACCCATGTTTTACCCAACACGTTTTGTAGATATAAAATACGTATACAGTTTAAATCATTTAAAACATGTATAAAAATCTTTCACTCGGCATAGACAGCAAGTATTCATACAATATGCACACACATAGCACGTAATTTATATTAAAATACTTCATATCTATGTGTAAGATGAAAGGGACTATGCACTCACAACACGTAAATTATATAATAAATACTTCATATCTATGTGTAAGATGAAAGGGACCATGCACTCACAACACGTAAATTATATAATAAATACTTCATATCTATGTGTAAGATGAAAGGGACCATGCACTCACAACACGTAAATTATATAATAAATACTTCATATCTATGTGTAAGATGAAAGGGACCATGCACTCACTTGAAAAGATGGTGATTCCGAACTCAGACAGCGCTTCACTTCTTGAAAAAAAATAATTTCCTTCGACGAAACTTAGTATTATCACCACTAGATTTTAATCTAATATTTACCATGACTAATTATTAGTCTAGCTATTATTACTATCATATAAGCATTAAAAAATACTTATATAACCCATAATAATAGCCCAAGTATTTATTATAAGTTCCTAATAACGTTACTATAATTAAATAAAAGCTATATTAAAAATAGCGTAGGCGTAGCTCACTTACAGCGGGTTTTATAGAAAACCAGGATTTGCTTGGAGCAGCGTTTCGGAGCCGAAAAGCTCTTCTTCTCAGAGCCGTCGAGCACTCTGGGGCTTCCGCCTCGTGCTAGGGAGGTTCCCTAGGCTTTTCGGGGGATTTCGGGGCTAGAGAGAGGTTTTAGAGAGAGAGTAAAGAGAAGAAAGAATGGGAA